TGACAAAGCCATAATTCATCAAATTTATATGGAAGCATCCTCAGGTAGTGAAGATTCAAGTTTGTTCAAATCATGACCCTGGGGGTAGGGCGGGGCCAAAAAGGCCGACCAAAGTTTTACATAGAAATTTATGGGAAAATTCTTTAAAAATCTTCTTCTCAAGAATGACAAATCCATAATTCATCATATTTATATGGAAGCATCTTCAGGTAGTGTAGATTCAAAAATTTGTACAAATCATGACCCCAGGGGGTAGGGCGGGGCCAAAATGGCCGACCAAAGTTTTACATAGAAATATATGGAAAATTCTTTGAAGAAAAGCAAATCCATGATTGATCATGGGATTACTTTTGGATTTTAACTTTTCAATTATAAACCAATTTCTACTTTTTCTTAGCTTCAGTACTCAGGTGAGCAATGTGGCCCATGGGCCTCTTGTTTAATGTACCATTAGTAATACACATCTGGCGGGACATTCATGTCCTATAGACATATTTCTAGTTTTTCAAATCATCACCTCAGGCTAGGGTCAGGCCACAATTAGGGATCAAAGTTTTATTTAGGAATAAAAGGAAACACATCTTTAAAGTTCTTCTTTTCAGGAACACCAAGAGCATGATTAATATGGAAATATTCTCAAGAGGTGTAGATTCAAGTTTGTACAAATCATGACCACCAGGGTTAGGGAGGTGCCATATTATTCCAGCCCCTTTTTGCCATCCATATGAAAATTCAAATTTTGAAACCATTTTACACATACACAAAACAAACCAATCATTTTCTAAATGATCATGGTTTAAAGCTATTGCAGCATAAGATATTAGGGAAGTTCTTGAAAGCAGGGTGATTAAACATGTCAAATATATGTAAAAAAAAAAAATATATAAAAATTCTACCTCGATTTGATCCCCATCCCCCCACCCCCCGGGCAAAATGAAAATTCCGAAACCTTACTGCACATCAACATGACACCACCAACCATCTCTTAAAATATGATAAGGCTGCTGAGTAAAATGTAGAAGGAGTTCAGGGAAGAAGGGGCTTTTTGTATAAAAAAACGTCATTTTTCGACCCCCATTTGATCCCCCGGGGCAAAATCAAAATTCCGAAACCTTACTGCACATCTACATGACACCACCAACCATCTCTCAAAAGATGATTAGGCTGCTGAGTAAAATATAGAAGGAGTTCAGAGAAGAAGGGGCTTTTTGTATAAAAAACGTCATTTTTCGACCCCCATTTGATCCCCTTGGGCAAAATCAAAATTCCGAAACCTTACTGCACATCTTCATGACACCACCAACCATCTCTCAAAAGATGATTAGGCTGCTGAGTAAAATGTAGAAGGAGTTCAGGGAAGAAGGGGCTTTTTGTATAAAAAACATCATTTTTCGACCCCCATTTGATCCCCTGGTGCAAAATCAAAATTCCGAAACCTTACTGCACATCTACATGACACCACCAACCATCTCTCAAAAGATGATTAGGCTGCTGAGTAAAATGTAGAAGGAGTTCAGGGAAGAAGGGGCTTTTTGTATAAAAAACGTCATTTTTCGACCCCCATTTGATCCCCCGGGGCAAAATCAAAATTCCGAAACCTTACTGCACATCTACATAACACCACCAACCATCTCTTAAAAGATGATTAGGCTGCTGAGTAAAATGTAGAAGGAGTTCAGGGAAGAAGGGGCTTTTTGTATAAAAAACGTCATTTTTCGACCCCCATTTGATCCCCCGGGGCAAAATCAAAATTTCGAAACCTTACTGCACATCTACATGACACCACCAACCATCTCTCAAAAGATGATTAGGCTGCTGAGTAAAATGTAGAAGGAGTTCAGGGAAGAAGGGGCTTTTTATATAAAAAACGTCATTTTTCGACCCCCATTTGATCCCCTGGGGCAAAATCAAAATTCCGAAACCTTACTGCACATCTACATGACACCCCCAACCATCTCCCAAAGGATGATTAAGTTACTGTGAAAAATGTAGGAGGAGTTCAGGGAAGAAGGGACTTTTTGTATAAAAAACGTCATTTTTTGACCCCCATTTGATCCCCCGGGGCAAAATCAAAATTCCGAAACCTTACTGCACATCTACATGACACCCCCAACCATCTCCCAAAGGATGATTAAGCTACTGTGAAAAATGTAGGAGGAGTTCAGGGAAGAAAAGTGTGACAGACGGACGGACGGACGGACGGACGGACGGACGGACATGAGTAACAACAATATACCCGAACTTTCTTTCGAAAGTGCGGGTATAATAATATCCAAAAGCACAAATCTCTTTAAACTTTATAGATATCCATACAGGCTTTGTAAAGCTGACAGGGTTTTTTATTATATGAATATATGCTTGTTCCAAAAATCATTAAATAAGAAAGCAGGAAGTCTTTTGTACATGTGGATATCTGATTCAGCAAATGTAAGCAATTTATGGCTTCTTTCAGTTTTATGGTTCTCATCTGAAGGACTGTTCTCCACATCCCGCAGTTGGTTCTAATGGAGTAAGGCCTTGGTTATAAAAAACACACTTGCATCAATGATTTTATCTTTAATTTGCCTAAATTTCAATGATTTTATCTTTAATTTGCCTAAATTTTTCTTTTTTTCTTGGATAAAGAAAGAGGGTGTATATTAAGGCATGGACAATCCCCCGTTCTGAGACAAAATACTTCCAATCTCAATGTTCAAATTTCACAGAAAAAGTTATATTTTTCTAAAATCATGTTCTCAGTAATGTCATCTTCAAAACATTTTATCATTTTATTTTACTGAACGACTTATTATTTGATAATCTTTTATTTCAAAATTGACAGTTAAGCATATTTCATGGAAGATGGGTTTACTGGAGCTATAAACAAGAGGCCCATGGGCCACATCGCTCACCTGAGAAGCTTTGACCATTCTGTTCTTTACCAGATTTCCCCCTTGTTATACATAATGCATCCCCACCCTACCCCACTGATCATAATTTAGACATTTTGAAATCTACACTACCCCATGATCCTTCCATGGGCACATATGTTTCAGCTTTTTTGGCCCAGTGGTTCCTGAGAAGAAGATTTTCAAAGATTTTTCCTATATATTTCTATGTAAAACTTTGATTCCCTATAATGGCCCCGCCCTTCCCCCGGGGGTCATGATTCCTACAATTTAGAATTTACACTACCCCAGAATGCTTCCACATAAGTTTCACTTTTTCTGGCCAAGTGGTTCTTGAGAAGAAGATTTTCAAAGATTTTTCCTATATATTTCTATGTAAAACTTTGATTCCCCATTGTGGCCCCGCCCTTCCCCGAGGGTCATTATTTGAACAATTTAGAATCTACATTATACCAGGATGCTTCCACATAAGTTTCAGCTTTTCTGGCCCAGTGGTTCTTGAGAAGAAGATTTTCAAAGATTTTTCCTATATATTTCTATATAAAACTTTGATTCCCCATTGTGGCCCCGCCCTTCCCCTGGGGGTCATTATTTGAACAATTTAGAATCTACATTATACCAGAATGCTTCCACAAAAGTTTCAGCTTTTCTGGCCCAGTGGTTCTTGAAAAGAAGATTTTCAAAGATTTTTCCTATATATTTCTATGTAAAACTTTGATTCCCCATTGTGGCCCTGCCCTTCCCCCGGGGGTCATGATGTGAACAATTTAGAATCTACACTATACCAGGATGCTTCCACATAAGTTTCAGCTTTTCTGGCCCAGTGGTTCTTGAAAAGAAGATTTTCAAAGATTTTTCCTATATATTTCTATGTAAAACTTTGATTCCCCATTGTGGCCCCACCCTTCCCCCGGGGGTCATGATTTGAACAATTTAAAATCTACATTATACCAGAATGCTTTCAAATAAGTTTCAGCTTTTCTGGCCCAGTGGTTCTTGAGAAGAAGATTTTCAAAGATTTTTCCTATATATTTCTATGTAAAACTTTGATTCCCCATTGTGGCCCCGCCCTTCCCCCGGGGGTCATGATGTGAACAATTTAGAATCTACACTATACCAGGATGCTTCCACATAAGTTTCAGCTTTTCTGGCCCAGTGGTTCTTGAGAAGAAGATTTTCAAAGATTTTTCCTATATATTTCTATGTAAAACTTTGATTCCCCATTGTGGCCCCGCCCTTCCCCCGGGGGTCATGATTTGAACAATTTAGAATCTACACTACCCCAGGATCCTTTCATATAAGTTTCAGCTTTACTGGCCCAGTGGTTCTTGAGAAGAAGATTTTTTTAATGACCCAACCCTATTTTTGTCTTTTCTTGATTATCTCCCCTTGCGAGGGGATATGTCCCTTCATTTTTACAATTTAGATTCCCCATCACCCAAGGATGCTTTGTACCAAGTTTGGTCAAAATTGGCCCAGTGGTTCTTGAGAAGAAGTCGAAAATGTGAAAAGTTTACAGACGGACAGACAGACAGACGGACAGACGGACGGACGACGGACAAAATGTGATCAGAAAAGCTCACTTGAGCCTTCGGCTCAGGTGAGCTAAAAATGAATTTTGAACATGAATTGGTCAAGTCTCCATTTTTTGTTAACACTTAAATGATGGAAACGTAACTGTGAAATCTATTTCATTTGTCCAAAAAATGGAATATGCATGAAGCCATTCTATATGAAAATCGCAAATTTCTGAAAAAATGTACGCTTCCTTTAAATCACATTGACAGACGTCTATAATGCATGTACTTCATAGCATAGTGGTTAAAGTGCTTGGTCTTGGCCTAAACCCTGCGCTATGGAGAGAGTTTGAGTCATACATGAAGCTTTTTCTTTTTTGTTTTCACATATCATAAAAACATGAGTGAAAAATAAATTATTAATAAAATATTAAAGCAGTGAAATACAGAATTAAATGTGTAAAGATGATATACACAATATAATATTGAAAAATACAACTTTTAGAATCGAGAAATGTCTTTCCTCAGAGTGGGGGATTGTCCTCACCTTGTACGCCTCCATTCTTTAATATTTATGTATATATCTGTTCCTTACCTTACATTGCGGACAATGTCCTACAAGGTAGATCTCTTGCACACAGATGGATCCTTCCAAGACAATAATTTTGTTTCCAGCTAACTGACCATTCACATTTACAGGTTTTTCAAATCTAATTTTGAACCCTCTGCTACCAATTTCACTTATATTTAACTTAGTTGGAGGGGTAGATACTGAAATTGAAAATAAATAAGAATGCCAATATTTCAAGAAAAACTACCTTGTTTAAATTTTTTTTTTTAAACAGTGCTTTAAATATACCGGTAATGATGATCTTTTTCATATCAAACATTGATTTATTTACTTATTATACATGTATAGTTTTATTGATACATAAATATCAAATTCAATAAACAAAATGGTTTAGTAACAATAAAAATCTTCAATATATTTTATACTAGCTTCTATACATAAATTTAAACAATTGTATTAGTTCTTAATATCTGCATTTATCCCGCTTCAGACAAATTTGTCGATTACTGATTGGATAAAAGCTAATCACGTGAACGCCCTGAAATTTTCCGTATTAGGTCTCAGTTTCCGTATTACGTCTCGGTCGAGGCGTAATGTGAAAATCGGGCACGCGATTCCGTTCGAAGCGTTGTTATTGTAAATAAAAATGGCGGCTAAGAGTAAGAAACGGTTTACGTAGGTAGTTTAGTTAATTTTCTTGTTAACGTAACATTTTATGTTGATTGTTATTGGATTAAAACTTAATATTTTCGTAATATGCACAAATATTTTTTTTATATTGTAAAAGGTCTTCAGCGGGATAAATTCGTAACACAGTCAGTTAGTGACCTAATACGGATTCATACAGGGTGTGAAATGGAAATCCGTATTGGGACTCGGCTTCGCCTCGCCCAATACGGATTTCCATTTCAGACACTGTATTAATCCGTATTAGGTCACTAACTGACTGTGTAACTAATATTATCCCTACTACAGTGTATTGCGGAGATTATAGAGCTAGCTTACTAGTAGTCTACATCCCCATTATGTAACTGCATGATCATGGCATTCCTCTATTTGAGAAGAAAATTTAGGAAGACTTTTCCAGATATGCCCATGCAAACTTGAACTGCCCAATGTAGCCCAACCCTATTCCCAGGGGAGAGAAACAAATTTTAATATTCAGTATCTGAGGATGCCTCTAAATGAATATGATTAATCATGATTTTTCAATTCCTGAGAAGATTTCAAAATATCTTATACACTCATACTCATGTAAAATTGTCATGTTTAACATTTATTTATATCTTGTTGTGTAAGTAAACACTCACTATCTCAGCTATTATGCTAACCTTATAGATCAATAAAGCAAAATTAATAAAAATAAATATCTTTCAGACTTTTAAATTTTTCATGTCTTTAACTCTCCAATTTTTGAGTCCCTATTCCTATATTCTGTATAGCGGGTTTTTTTTTAGTGGGGTGCTAATTTTTTTGCGTTTTATGGTAGCCCGCTTAAATTTTGATCGCTAATATAGTCAGTACCCTTCTTAGTGTTTATTTGTAATGAGCTGAAATCTTGTCTGCTAAAATAAATTAGGCAAAAATTATTGGCACACCTTCAAGCAGACAAAATGCCAAATTTTACACTTCCAAGAAAACCAAAAATAAACAAGTGACTTTCAGTTGCTCCAACTAATACGCAAAGTTTTTGCTCTCTAGTCAGTTTGTATATTCATTTACCTCCAGCCTTAGTTGAACAGTTGATAACCTCACTGGGATCACTAACTTTTTGTGCTTCCTCTGCATCGTTAATTGTCCGGACAGTGAAATTATACATTACCTCTGAAATATAAATATTGAATGACATTAACTTAATCTAATTATTTAAGAAATAAGGTATCATTTTCAAACATCTATCAGGATATAAAACAGGTTGTTCGCAAGATCAAATAAGACTTTATATTATAGTATACTCGTACTAGTATTTGATCTCGTACCATCCCGTATTTATAACCCGATATATGCTTTTAAATGATACCTTATTTCTTATATATCTGTGATGTATTTATATTTTATATTTCCTGAATTATGACTTTCACTGTGTGAAATGTTTTGATTTTGTTAAAGAAATAAGGTATCATTTTCATAAAATCATAAAATTGATCTTTCTCATGCTTATGTTTCCTCATCCTTCACTAATAGTTTGAAAAAAATAGCATTAAGGTATACCTTTACTCAGCGGACTAAAAATTCCACTGATAAGAACGAAAAACCACCTATTGCACATTGTACACCTATAATTCTGGTGTTAAATTTCAATTTCAAATTACTAGGTCAATGACCTACTTTTCATGCTAGTGGCCCCTGAGTATTTCACGGGAAATACCTCAATTCTTCACACTATGACCAATATTTTCTTCACTCACAAATATTACAAGTAACAAAGCTTTTTAGATAATGAAATATTAAAGCAATTGAACAGTGTTGCTTCATATAAAGAAATGATTAGAGTTTTGACCATAAATTTGATAATTATTACAGTCCGAATTTCCTCTGTCATCTTTATATTTTTTCCCCATTTATAATCGAATATTAAAAAAATCTGACTGATAAGAACTCAAAATTATTTATAGAATCAGGTTACTTTTGTTGCCCTAATTCTCATGGTATTAACATTATATGGGGTCAATGATCAAATAATTGAGATATGTTGTCTGGATTGGTTTTTGTTCATATTTTTGAATTTCATTATTTCATAGCATTCATTTATATGCAATAATTTATTAGTTTTAACGCATATAACATTTGCAAAATGATGTTCAAAAACACATGTAACCTTTACATTGTGATTAATATTGCAAAAAATAAATGATTTTGACAAAAATGAAAAATTAAAAATTTAGTCCGAATTTCCTCTGCATTGCCATACATTGATTTTTGTTCCGGTATATTTTCTTCAAATAATAAAATATTTAATTTTTTAATTGATATTGGGTCAAAACTAATTAATTTTATCCATTTAGAGCAATTTTTGATTTAACATATTATACTTTACAAAATTTCCTTTCTGTTTTCTGAAACATGAGTATAAACGTCATCCTTAAATGATTCTACTACTACCTATGTATCAGGTTTCATTTGCTGTATTAAAACTGAAAAAAAATACCTTCACTTAACCCCATGACATTGTATTTTGTCACATTGTCTGGTGTGTTGATAGTAAGACCTCCAGGATTTACGTGAATCTGATACATCACAATCTCTCCATTAGGGTTCGTAGGAGGCTCCCAAGATATTTCTAAAGAGATGTCCTTTGGATGTTGTGGACAATTTACATTAATAGGTGGACCCGGTCCTTAAAAAGAAAAAAAATATAATTGATAAATATTAACAAAGGCAGGTGCTAACATACCTCAGTATTCTCTTGAGTCAAATGAAAATTTTTTTATATTCTTACTAACAAAATGTTATGTTATATTTTCATCAGAATTGTTAGCAGTATAAAATCTTCTTCTTACTTGTTGGGTTAATTCTGATTGTCTCTGTGTGTACTGCACTCCTCTTTTCACCAGTTGGTTCATTTGATGTACCACTGATTGTCACGATACTGACAACATAGTATTTACCAGGAGTTAATGTCTTTGTAAAATGGGTCCATGGATTACTACCTGCAGTAAACTGTATTGTGCTGTCAATCATCACTTCATATTTGGTAATGAAGGTATTGGATGGAGGAGTCCACTTTAAGGTGAGGTTGTTGTGAGCAAAAGAACTTTCACTGTGTAATATAGAACCAGGTGGAAGTGGATCTAAAAAAAACATAGATCAGAAACTAGAGCCGAGCTCGTTGCAAAGCAACGAGTAGGTCTTCTGTTGGAGCTATGGACAGGAAGTACCGACCTTGGGTCAAGATCACTGCACTTTCTTATGTGAACAACCTTTCTTCTCAGTATGAGCCTCCAGTGAATTTTAATTACAAAGTTATGCTTAAACATTTTTTTCTCTGTCAGTGACCTAGATTTGCTAGAAAGACCTTTGATCAGGGTCATGACACGACCTCCAATCATAAGTAATCTATGTTTCAAGTAAGAGCCTCCAATGATTTTCATTTACTAATTCATAGCATGGGAAAGAAAATATTTTTTTCTGTCAGTGACCTTGATCTTAACAGAATTGGCTCTGTGTCAAGACAAACCTTCAATCTGAAACAACTTTTAGTGATTCAAAATTCATAACTCTGACAGGAATTTTACAACTTTTCTGTCATTGGCCCTGAATTTGTTAAAATGGCCTTATTTTAAGTCATCTGAAACCGGCGGACTATAAACAATTTTTATCAAGTATGAACTTAAACAAAAATTGTCCAAATTGAAATGATACTATTTTATATCATCCAAGGTCGCCCTCATAGCGCACTGATTAGAGCGTCTGTTCTATAGTCGCAAAGTAAGGAGTTCATCCTTACATCGTGGGTTCGAATCCCACTGTGGGACGTGGAGGCCTGTTCTTGGAATGAAACTGTATAAAACAAGGCCCCGTGTCGCTTAAGGTGCTGGCACGAAAAAGATCCCCCTCCCCCCGGTCAAAGGCCTTAAGTGCTGATTATAGGATATTTGAAGCTCTCCACTGGCAAGTGCATGATGGCATCTCTATATGAGTGAAATATTCTTGAGAGGGACGTTAAAACATATCAATCATATCCCCCCCCCCCCCCCCCAAAAAAAAATGATTAAGAATTTTGCCTATGAAATATTTCGGTAGGGGTGTTGAAAGTTTAGGCTACGTACAACTATCAGTCCATTGAATAAGAATATTTATTTCAAACTTTGGGGAAAGGGCGTGGGGTGCATGGGGGAGTTATGGTGTATATGTAATACATTCGAGATTATTATTATTCCGTTAGACAGAAAGGCCCAAGGAGTTGTGATTTGCTGATCATGATCTAAAACACATTGACAAACCCAAACCACATGGTTTTTATACACATCCTTCAATTAATTTATTCATAATTATTTTCCTTGAAGGAGAAATGCATGGATAAAAGATAAAAGAAAATTCCTGATGTACAATAGCATCCATGCATGGACTTTTAGTACTTACATATTGTGCTTGAAGTTGAATAAAATCAACAAATAAATTTAATTTAAATAAGAAAGGGGGGTTATGTTTAATAAAATAAATTAGACAATAATTGATACAGGGAGACTCTCTGTTAAATACATGAATGTACTTGAACAAAATGCCTCTCTCTTGCCTTCTTTCGTACATTTATTTTTTTAAACCAGGAAAAGTAATGTGTGTTAGATATAAGTTCATAATTTTAAAGAAAATACTGAGTTATATATGATAAACGATACAAATGTTTTGACTATGGTGCCGGATATTATTTTAATAGTTTAAATTAGGTTGTTAAGGTGTACATGATAAGTTTTCGATATTCAGTAGCTGCAGATTGTTATATAAGTTCTTAAATTTTCGATTCTGGACATAGGATGCGAGTTTATTACTACTTACATGTACATTGTATAACTTGGTACCGATATTTAATCACGGAACAAAATTACAATGTTAGCACACTACCGGGTATACTAATCATTTACAGGATTTGAATAAATTATTTTACAAATTAAGTTCATGGCTTTCAAATCTTGAATTATTTTTTCAGCTTTACTAGTATCGAACTTGTAATATAAGTATGCATGGTGCAGCACAGAATCCACTTTCGAAGTTTACACGTGCCGGAGTTAACTATCGATGTTTAATCCATTTCATTGACTATAATTCTATCCTTATGATTCGGAAGATTCTCTTTAAAAGTTTAAAATTGGTATAGACATGGTAAAAATCTGTGATGGAAAAAAAATGTGTTTGGGAAAATTTGTGTTGAAAACGGATTTATTTGTGTGTGAAAAGGGCAAAGCTTATGTATTTAATTCAATATTGGTTGAAGTAAAGTAACCACAGATCGCTATAGTCCTAATTACGCAATGAATCGTCAAAATAAAAAGTAAAATTAAACATGGAGCTAACGAACATCTAAAAACTGAAGACTGATTAATATGATTAATGTACTGAGTTCATGTAAAGTAAATGCCCCAGGGTTTTGTGCTGAAGTCAAACCTAAGACAATTTAAGATTTTTTTAAAGATTCGATTTACTTAAAGAAAATAATATTTTCCCGTAAGTTTGTAAATTAGACACGTCTACCACCCGGCGAAATTAATGTCAAGAAGCGATGGAAAGAATGGTTGGTCGCGTAATTGTAAAAAAAACACAAAACCTAGATAGCTGTTTTAGTTAAAATATGCATCACGTTCAAATTTAAAACAAATCTAAGCCACCATATTAATCTCAAATATTCGACAATAAGAATTTTTCATTAATTGTCGTGTTGTAGAAAGGTTTTAATATATCAATTATTTTGCCTACGACTGCAGGGTCAATGGTTCACCGTGGAGTGTCGCTTTAGATTTCTCGGCCGCGTGTAATTGACGGATAGATTACGTAATGGTATACACGCTTAGAATCTGTGTTCCAGGTGAATGTGAGAATCAAGCAATAAATAATGGTGTATTATTTGACTCTTTAAAAAGTTTCTATGAGATCTGGGTGTATATTGTTTTCATTTAAATTGTTTGTGTTCATTTTAAACAAAGAAAAGATACTCCTACTTCTATCACTCTCTCTCTCTCTCTTGGAAAGATCTTTATTAATAAAAAGAAAAAGTTGCCATCGAATACTCTGTACCGGAACCAAAAAACACATTTAAAACCTAATCAAAAAAAAAAAATATGATCAGCGTTGCAAAATATTTATTACTTATGGCATGTTTATTTCAATTATACGCATAAAAAGTTCTCCTTCAATAGCAAAATGAGAACGGTGCCATGTTAACGGATCTACCTTTTTTTCTTACCATACGTAAGACTCGAACAAAATAATATTTTTATAGGATAGAAATGATATAAAGGAACAATTTATAATCGACAACCATATCAAAATATTTACCGTTTTTGAGTTATAAAGCAAAAACTTTCAAGGCCCCTAGATCCCTAATTTTAGGGGCCAGCCCCTTTTCAATGATATCAAATGAAAGCTCTTGCAATTATGCAAAACTTTTATTCAATATGTCTTAACAAAATATTTTTAGTTTTCAAGATAAAAGGTAAAATATGTGTAATTTTTCGCTCTTTTATGCGTTCTAATTTTTGACCCCTATATAGCGCCATTTTGAATAAAGAAATCGAAAAACAAAAACTGGCATGCACAACTTCAATCCTTCTGCTATCTAAAATCAGTAGAATTTCTGCTCCAGTTTTTGTGGTCTCTGAGCCTTTATCTGGAAATGAAAGCCTATAAATTTTCATTTAAAGGGAAATAACTCAAAAGCGGGAGTATATTTTTGAAATATAAGACGGCATTCTGATAGAGTGTATCGATGTGTATAATGTCTGAAAATTTGAGCAAAATCCGATGAGAAATGAGTGAAATATGAGGCCTCAAAGTTGGCGTCTAGGAAAAGGAGAAAAAAAAAGAATAATAAGAACTAGAGCTGAGCTCGTTGCAAAGCAACGAGTAGGTCTTCCGTCCTGTTTGACCGGAAGTAGCTTTCTTTTTAACAAAAATGAGAAATAATGCCCAAAAATGCTTTAAATCCTATAAAGTTATGTTAATTAATGCAAAAATAAGCAATTTTTTGCTACTTCCGGTTTAACCGGAAGTGACGATGATGGACGGAAAATTAATTTTTATGCTCCGAGAGACATACGTTACCCAAAAACTTGTCAAGAAGGCAAAAATACGCATTTTTCCACTACTTCCGGTTTGGCCGGAATTCCGTCCGGTTTTGACTGGAAGTGCCGAAAGTGACATCAAAAAAGAAAGCAATGAGCTAAGTCGTCTCCAGTGACTTTATAATTTCAATTTTGCATCAAAAACCTTCAAAATAAGCCATTTTTGGCTACTTCCGGTTTGACCGGAAGTGACGCCGACGGATGGAAAATTAATTTTTATGCTCCCAGAGACATATGTTATCCAAAAACCTGTCAAGAACGGCAAAAATACACGTTTTCCGACTACTTCCGGTTTGGCCGGAAGTGACGACGCCGGACGTATTTTGACGACTCTAATAGATAAAGCTTGACATTTTGAACAACTTTGCTTCTTTGACGTATTACAAATTCTCAATACTTTTTGAGATTTAAAGAAAAAACTTTTGGCCCCTCTAGGCCCCTCATTTTAGGGGCCAGCCCCTTTTACAAGATATCATTTGAAAGATCTTGAAATTCTACACTTCTTTTGTTCTATATGTTTTAACAAAATATTTCCAGGTAAAAATATATCGTAGAAAAGGTGTTTAAAATTTTGAAATTCGCGATACGACAATTTTCGGGCCGTAGCGAGCGCCGACGTGCGGCACTTCCGAAAAAAATGAAATACTTTATACATATCTATAGACTTTGGTCTATCATACCTCAAAGTTTCATGATTCTATCTTGAGCCATTATTGAGAAAGTCTGGAGACAACCTGACCCTTCAAAAACGATAAAATCGACAATATCTCCAAACCGGAAGTGACGTCATCAAATCGGAAAAAAATGCATAAGGTTCAAGTTATGTTGCATAAGTCCTGAAAGTTTCATGAAAATCCATCAAGCCGTTTTTAAGAAATCGCCTGCACAAAATCGGTAAGAAAAAAAAAGAATAATAACTAGAAACGATCTCGTTGCGAGCAACGAGTAGGTCTTCTGTCCGATTCCGAAAAATAACCTATAAAATAACCTATAACATATTTTGGACACACTGGTAA